AGTGAAGGTAATCACGCCGCTCTTTCTTACCCCATGCGAAAATTGCGAACGTTGGAACGGACAGGGAGCCTCGTTTTGCCATTCGCCATTCGCCCTCGCCTGACCATTTCTTCTTGGTTGCGACGAAGGAAAATCCGCGTCTAATTTACGGGTGTTGTCCGCAGTAGGTTTCGACTTTTCCCTTTTTTCTGCGATTCGAGTGAATAAGACCCATGGGATGAGACATGCCTCGCTATCTTATCGACACAGTAGGGATCATAATACCCAAGGACCACCAGAAAATTCTGTGTAAAAAACCAAGGACGCCCGGAAAATTTTAGACGGTGAAGAGTCGTTGGGTGGATTGCTGATTGTGGCGGTTGAGTGACAAGCGAAAACGTTGCTAAACAAAAGTGGCTCCATCGGCATGTTGCTCCCGCGCAGTGTCCAACTTACTGGCACATCATTCCATCACCATGAGCCATCCTCTTGATTCACCAAACGCCGTTACCAGGGACTTTTACTTCTTTTACAGGTCGAATGGACGCAAATTCATTCATCGGGATGCGATCACGAATGCCAAGTGAAATTCCGCAATGGACGGACAGCAGGCACACAAATGTGCGACTCTTGGAGTACGTACAGAAACTCGCTCTCGGGTGTTTTTACGTACGGAACCTTCATTGAGCGAGGTGACTCGTCGGACGAGCAGCGGAGGGCTCCCCGACAGGTTGGAGGTGGTCACTTCCATTAGTGCGGCGAGAAAGAATGGGGTACGCCGAACTGATATTAGTTGCGGGTTGGCATCATTCATATGTTGCAGGAAGAAATGTGGGAATCGTTCCTCAAGAACATTATTCCATAAAGTATTCCTCAGCGAATAGGGAGATGAAGACGGGGGAAAGAGAACCACGCAGACGGGGTAGCAAGATGCATTTTATTAACGGATACAATAACGTCCATAAATAAGAGATTGTTTCATATTTCTTAAATATTCTCCAGATGCGACGGAGCAACAACGAAAAACGCATTAAAAAAAAAAGAGAAGAAATAATAAATCTGTAGCTGAAAGGATTTCGAGAAACGAATTCACACTCGAAGAAAATCTTCACGCATCCCAGTGAGAAAAACAGCTACCTTCTGACCATCACAGTTCAATACAAATATAGCTACTCCAGATGAAATCGCATTTTGCTCGGCCATTCTCGCGGAGAAGTTGGAAGGATGGGTATCATGGCAATAGCTCAAAAATTTCACTCAAATCATCACTTCTTTCGCTGAGAGAAACTTGTTCACAAAAGTCGGTAACTGATTCCTAATGATTGCTTCCATCCACCTAAGCAGGATAAATTCTAAAGCTGCGATAAGTCTCGTTAATGTGACCTGGATGAGGAGGGAAAATACCTCACAGGCGCACAAGGGACATTACACTCGAAACGGACCAAAAATCACCAAACAGATCAAAGCGGCGCAGGGAAGAAAAACACAATTGAGCCAATAAACTCCCAGTCCCAATCGTCTTTCGGCGGGGAATGATGCACGGGGATGGACCCCCAGCCTTTTGCGTGCACTCTCGATAAACGAACCGTGAATCACGATCGGTGGATCGTCAGCGTCGAGAACTAAATCTACAGGTCATGGATTACCTCGAGGCATTTACGTCTTTGGACTGGGAAATTTTCTACACTTCTATAATGGATGCTTTCGACTTGCGCTCCTCACTTCGTGGGAAACCCTCTCACAAATCACGATCGGATACCCCAGAGACAAACGAATACGGGAATTCTTTTAATTTGCGACGAATGGCATTTTCCAAGACTGCAGCACGACGGAAGCTCTTAGAGCTTTGCTCTCAAAAATATTGCAATCGATCGCAATACGATCATTTGGCCTCCGACGATACCTTCCCTGAGCTACGGTTACGCGTTGCAGCGCGAACGTATCCAGAATCCATCGGGGTATCGCAACGGAACCGCCTCGATGCAAGGCATTTCATCGCCGGTGGAAGCTGCCGGAGCGATCGGAGACGAGTCAGACGCACCGTTGACGCCAAGGAGCTCCGTTCGAGCTCTCGGCCCGGGAATCACAGGAAGGGAGTCACGTGACGCTTCTGCATCTGTGCGCGGAGGTAGTCGTCGGTCGGGTCCTCGAAGGCGGGGTTCAGGGAGGAGCCCTCGTCGGCCTCGTCCGAACAGACGTCCTCGAAGCTCATGTTGCTGAAGGCGGAGCCCTTCTTCTTCTCCGACTTCTGCCGGGCTTTTTTCGATTTCTTGAGGGAGCCGCCGAGCTTCGGGGGCGGGGACTTGCGGAAGAGGTCCTCCTCCTCGCCGTTCTCGGTCTCGTCGTCGGACATCTGGTGATACTTGGACAGGCCGACGCGGAATCGGTCCTTGCTGCCGTTCCGGTCCTTATTCTTGGGCTCGAGGAAGACGTCCTCGGGTTTGCTCTCGACGGGAGGCTTGGGGACGTCCCGTTTCGGGATCGGCTGCACTTTCGGCTGTACTTTACCGAACGGGATCGCACCGAAGAGGTCCTGGTTCCCCATCGAGACGGAGGGCTTCGGGGCGACGGGCGGGGGGACCTTCACCGGCTTGGGGGCGGGGGGAGGCGGGAGAGACGGCGAGGCCACGATCGCGGGGATCTGAGGGGGGAAGACCACGGGTGGGGGCGGGACGAAATTGGAGGTCGGGACGGGGGGAAATTGAGCGGGGACTTCCATCACGATCGGGACGCGGGTCACGTGCTGCGATGAGACTCGAGCGGTCGGGGCGCTAGTTCTCGCAATCTTTTCTGGGGGATTCGCGACCTCTGGGATGCTTGCAGGAGTCTCGGTACCCCCGAATTCCGCCGGTGGGTGTATGATGTTCTCGTAACGATGCACTCGGTTCACCACCTTGGACGTCGGCACGTTCTCGTACCGGTGTTGCGACAGTTCGGCCGTGCGGTTGATGGCATCGATGTTTTCGTATCGATGCGATCCCGTCTTGGACTTCTCTTCGGGGATGGGCTTCATCATGGTCTTCAGGAGCTTCTGCGGGAGCTTCAGCGGAGCTTTGGCGAAGACGTCGCTCTCTTCGACTTCGGGTTGCGTCTTGGCCTGGCGCCAGAAGCGTCTCGGGACGGGTCCGTGGATGGAGATACGGGTGACGGACGCCCCCTCCACGATGGAGCTCTTCTCCGTCGGGGTGTCCTCGTCCGAACGACCCGGTTCGTCGCTTTCCTTCTCCGAGGGGCTGCAGCTGGAGTCGAGTTCGTCGTAGGCCAACAGGGGCCGTTCGCCGTACTCGGGGCCGGTGTAGAAGTCCTTGCCTTCGCCGCCGGGTGCCGGGCCGGAGGCGTCGCCGCTCTTCTTTCGCACTTTGGGGGCGAGTTTCGCCGCATCTTTGGCGTCTTCGTGCGTGGTGACGCTCTCGCACTCGGCCTGGTACACCGAGGAACTCTGGTTCGTGACGGCGTCGCACTCGAGTCCCGCCGGAGCGTCTTCCTCTTCCCTGGCGCGGAGGTCGCTCGCGGAGCCGATGGAATCCAGGTCCGAGGTCTCGGCTTTCGTCCCCGGCTCCGTCTTCCGCGTCTCGTCGAGCTCCTCCTCGAGGAAGTCGTCGCTCAGCTTCTGCATGAACCTCGCCAGAAGGCCCCCGCGGGCCCACTTCGAGTGAGCCCAGTGCGCGGGAAGGAAGTGCAGAGGACTTGGACTATTTATGGGTCCCATCGACACTGATGTGAGTGATGTTGACCGAGAGCCGAAATCGGATGCAAATCTGCAAATTTCCTTTATCGGGTGAATCAATCTTCCAGAATGCAAGTCGTGACGACCACGAACCATACTCGACCGACGTTCCGTCGAAACGTGAATTCAGTTAGAGCAAGACAATACAAAGCAGAGTTAGTAATAACATGAAAGGCACGAGGGGAGTTGAAAACCAGTTTGTAGAGCAGAGAATGGAACTGTCAATGCTAATCTCGGGTATGGAAACATCTGGCTATCACACCCTACCCTGCACGAGCGAGATGACCATCGTAACGTTTTAAAAGCTCTGACGGAATTTTTTTAGGTTGAACCCCTTCCTGAGTGCAGAGATCTGTCGTAAATACTTCACACCACCAGAATACATGCAATGACGATTTTACACATTTGAAATAACTTCAAGTGCATTAAACATTTCTTGAACCCTTACATTTCTCCTCCTCCTGGATTGCTTGTTGCTCCAATATATATGATATGCTTCCATGAAAACATATTGCGTTCGTTTGAAAATATGTCTTCATACACCTTTTCTAACAAAAAGAAAAGACAGAACATGCGGCGGACACACAACGAGCGTATTTCTTACAAGGGATACAAAGAGAAGGCCTGCTTGTCACAAGCACCACGACCAAGATCACATTCCCTCACCCAGGGTCGCCCCTGTACGGTCCTAGAGGAGGCCTTCGGTCCTCGAGGACTCACGTGTTGACCAGGTCCATGACTGGCACGAGTGATTTTTAAGGTGTATTGCACCTGCACATCCTAGACATGTGTGCTACCCCATGCTAAGTAGACATTCCCCATGAAAGCACGTGGGTCACCTGTCAGCGGTTGAGCCCGCCTCCACTCGAAAGCCAGAACCACTTCGCCACCGAACATGCAGCTTTTCAATACATTATCTGGCATTAATGTGATACGGAATGATGAGAGTAAAGGAAAAAGAAGGAACTATACTGATTCAAGAAAGCGCAAGAAGTTATCTTCAGGTAGGTATAGTAATATATAGGAAATTAAATCTGGAATGAGCTCTGAAACAATTTCCAACCTTGCATTCCTGTAAGCTTGGGAACAGAATTCATTTGGAGTTCCTTAACAGGAGAATACTGTATGAAACCCAGTTCTGAGCCAAGTGATATTTTCAGGATCTCTTTTACAGGTATTTCTTTTCACCTTGAAGAGATTTTCCTATCTAGTCTATGACATACGATTGAAATTTCTGAATCTCCATGTTTTGTTATTCAATGAATTTATGAGCATCTTCAACAAAACTTTGAGCCATGAGACTACGTTAATCCTAAGCTCCTTCCTCGGTTTTCTGTCACAAAATTACTAAGGCCACCAACTACACGTAACAAAATATAAAGCCTAAACCCATATCCTTCTTGTGTGCCCACTTTCATAACCCGACCACCAGATGAGAAACCGCATCCCTTTGTGTTAGTGTGAGGGCATGCAGTGTAAAACAGGCAGGAGAGATAGGACCATTACAAGAATTTCTAGGCACAGCGGGGAGAATTAATTAGGTTAGGTATCACAAATTCTTGGAATGGCCCTAAATACTCCTTGTCGGATACATAGAAAGGAAACGACAGGGTGGCTTGGAAGGGAGGTACACATAATCTGTATTCTTGATATGATGATATGCCAACAGGGGCACAGACAGAGAAAAACAATATATGCTGTACTCCTTGGACATAAAATTCCATCCAAGTTGGAAGCCCAATAAATTTTCCCATTGAATTCTAAGGGGGAACAGGAAGAATATGGACATGTTAAGGTGAGCTTCCATATCCTCATTGAAAACAATGGAGATATCTCCATGGCTAAATAACATGGTACACAATTTCTTATTGTTGCAATGTATAAAAATTATTGCTTCCAACATATAATCAGGCCAAGTTATCACTCGGGAAGGTACATCACCAGAAAACATTGAAGGTTACACTGACTAGGTGAAACTCAGCTTTGGAAATCTGAAGGGACATTTTGTTCAAGGAACACCTCAAATACTTTGGGGTTAAGATCCCATCCATTTTACCTGAAGACATAAAGACATACTTATCCAATTCAACAGCCCTCAGTCTTCTCATTTAGGACCATTCCAAGACTTTAACACCAACCTTTGGGGCAACCAGGAGAAATTGTCATTTGAGATATCACCAAATGAATCCTAAACACTCACAAAGGGAAGACCGATGGCAATTCGAATTCTTAAGTCAACCACTCGTGAAATTCACACCAAAAATCAATAACATGGTGCTCTTTCAACAGTGAAGACTAGTGCTGAACATGTTTGGAGCAGGGCTGACTAGGTGAATTGAAATGAGCAGCATTAAAAGATAATAGTTCTTTGTACCCTTTCATCTTAGGAAGCACCCCAATTGAAATACTGCCAGCATCTGGTAGATGTATAGACTGAAGAACATCAGTAAGATCTAGAAAATTGAAGCCCAGTAACCAGGCCTGGGAACACTGTTGCTGTTTGGCAAAGTTCTCAAGTAATTGCTCAATATCCCAAGTAACTTAAAGCATTCTTAAAAGACACTTCAACTTCTGGATCTATGAAGCATGCATCAATTCTCTTGCCACCCAGTTGCTACTAATACCAAAGAGAAAGTAATATCTGTACTATCAACCACTGGCATCTGATATGTGCAACTGAGTGCAAGGAATAAATATGGCAATAAAAATATCTACAGGGTGGCCAAAAGTCAACAAGCCACCCATGTGCAGGAACCCTGTGAGAGATGAACAGTTGTCTTTCAAGGGATACTACAGCAAGGTTTCAGAAGGTGATCAGATTACCTCGGGAGTCATCCTGCCTTGCAGTCACAGGTGGTGATTGGATTCCACTTTTCTTCACTTGACTCCCAATGCCTGTCAACATAACAACCTCCATATAAGAAAGCAACAGCAAATCAATTGAGATATCAACCAACTTCATTATATATTCCTAAAACTGATGTCAGACAAACATGTGATATTGACTTTCATACAGTATGATAGCTTAATTAACTACAATGCAACCAGTCTGCTGCAAGAGATTGACAGGTTTTTGCTTCTAACCGTGCATCTTAAACTAAGTCCATAAAATTTCAGAGTCATGTAGCACACCCCATGACTTATTGCCTTCCCCAGTCAGGCACCAGGCTATGGTCCTCTAAGGTGTTGAAATTAATTTCAACTTCTCCTCTATGTGTGTCCCTTTTATCATTAATAGAGGAGAATGAAAGAGAATTGTGACAGTGACAAGTGAGGACAAACTGGCAGCCTTCATGTAATCTATCGCTTTGCTGCAATTCTGCTGTCAAGAGGGATAAGAGGTCAATCACTTTCCCCAAATCTCCTGAATCCATTTTCTGTACCATCCTTCTGGCCTTCTGACCATGCAGCATCCAAGTTTACCGTGACGTGGACGGACATGGGGAACAGTATATAAACTCCACTTGGAGAGTCGAAGAGGAGGAGGTGGAGGTTAGTGAAGGATTCCAGACTTCGCTGCTGCTATCATCATGCACCGGGTTAGGGTCCCTGTTTGGTAAATCGAAGCCTTGCTAATTCTACTTGGTTGGAGCCAAGATGCCTAAGCGCTGGTTGTAGCCAGGCTTGGGTGGATCTCGTTGGGGCTGTTCTGTTCCCTGCTGGTTGGAGCCAGAAGGGACATTTAGAATTAGCAAGGCTGAAATCGGATTGTGGGCAGGAGGACGATTGAAACCAGAGCAACCCCTTCCAATTTCATTGTTTAGCTGTGATTGAACAAATCACAAGTCCTTGCAAAAGTGCTGCATCAAGGGGGTGAGCTGAATCTTCTAGTTCTTCGAAGGGTTAACTATTCTTTTCATTTTGTTTACTCACTTTCTAAAGAGAAAACTGTCACTCGTGAAGTTGTGCAGAGAAAGATCTGGCACATTCTCATTTTTTTGCACTTTGTATGGTGTGTAAATGTTACATTAGAATTAACAAAATCATGTGTGTGAAACCCAATCTGTTAGAATCCTTGCTTAACAGCTACTGATTCCATCCAACCACTACAAACCTTCCCAAGGGGACAATTTCTAACATCCATTTTTACCATTTTTAATAATTTTTCCTGTATTGTGATGGTCAAGGTAGTTTGCAGGTAGCTATTATAGTACAGTGACGTACGAGTAGTACTACCAGCCATACCAAAAAACAAGCATTACAGTCAGCTGTATGGTTAATACCATAAAATTGCAGCTTACAGCATCTACACCCATGATTCACCCCCCTAAATATTTCAATAGAACTCTTCTATTTATTGGTCCATTTACATGAATTTATGAATGATTGTAGATCAAAAACAAATAATAATAATGACAATCATAGCTCTTTTAGTAATCTCTTCACTCCATAATGTTTACTCTGTTTAAAAATTAGATAACATGCTTGTCCTCTTCGCTGAACATCACTTTTCAGAATATGCTGTAACAGATTCATAATGACATCATTAACCAGGCTTGTTACATTTAAAATTTCATGTAAATGGACTAATAAATTTAAGAGTTATAATAAGATATTTAGTGGGTTCCAATTTTATGAATCACAGTGTACATCAAAAACTAATATTAACTCAATGCAATTGTGTCATCCTTACCTCTCATCATCAGGTGGAACCTATGTAAACCATATAAATAATCTATGGGTCTGTCCACTCTGTCATACATAACATCCGAGTAATATGTTTAGTATACAAAATGTATTAACTGTCCTTTAGATGATGGATCAGCATATAGAGGCTGTAACAACTTGCTTTAGGTAGTGACTGAAAATTCCATAATCAAAACTCTTGCACTCTCTCTTTTGTTAGAGGTTTACCTATGTGTAAAGTGTCAGCTGTCACATTTCATGAACCCTCAAGTTAAAGTCACTTACTCTTATGTTCACATATCTGTCATTGAGCAGATCATAATAATTTAGTTTCATGTTCATTCAACAGATTGAATTAAAGCCTGGAATTAGTGTAAGTCACCCCAAGCTTACAACACTTGAAACAGAAAGTAAGCCTATTTTGTGATGGTGTCAGATGTGACAGGAGAGTGTCAGATGTGACATGTTCTGAAAATGTATTTTAAAATGAGAAGTCTGTACATATATTTTAAAGTTATTTTAAAGATATCATTCAAATGTGAACAATTGACATCTATCTACTCTACACATCAGAGCTGATTTGAAATTATCAGTATGCATGGAGAACCCATGCTGACATCTGTTCCAGTTGTCAAATTCAGTCTCTCCAGAAATGCAAGTTCATCATATCCATGAGTATCAAGAGAGTGGAATGAATAATATATCATAATCATGACAAATTCTTTCCATTTTCAATATAATATTCTCCTTCATTCATGTCTTCTGGGAAAAGAGATGAACTTCTGTAGCAAAAGTAATATTTGCACATTTAGGAAAATTTCCAGCTAAAATCCCAGGACCACTTGGCATGGACAGACCCCAAAGTAAACAATGGCAACCCTTGGATAGGGCACCTGATTATATGAACTACAGGATATTCCCAATATTGATCACTCCAAGTGCCTTATCTGTGGTCATTGATGGCAATGCAAACAGAAACTGTCACCACAGGATTCCCAGAAGGCAAGCAATACTTAAGCTTTTCAGAATTTTTTCCAAACCATCAGACCAAGCTGTGAGTGAAAAAGTAGTCTGTACCATCAGCAGAGCTGTATTATTACAGTCTCTGATATTTGGCCTCCTTGATGCAGAGAGGGTAAAAAATATGAATGCAATTTCATAATGAAAACATAAATACAGTGATTTCACAATGTGAAATTTTGCACCAAGTAGTACAGGGTGGCTCAGAGAAATGGGAAATTTTGAAGATTGTTTTGTCAGCCCTGGGAGGTTGGTAGCACTGAATGACATATGAAACCCACCTTACGACATCTTGCTGTTTAGTTATCATGGATCAGTGGAGTGGTGCACAACGTGTGTTTGCGGTCAAAGCATTTTACAAGAACAATGACAGTGTGGAGGCTGCGCGTAGAGAATTTCGACGTCACTTCAATTTAGGACGTCGTGGTCGTGTTCCGTCAGCACATGCAATTAACACATGGGTACGGAATTTTGAGGAAACAGGTTCGGCTCTGAAAAAGAAACCTGTAGGTTGTGTGCAAATCGCTCGTACGCCAGACAATATCGAGGCTGTTCAAGCTGCTGTCATAAGAAGCCCACAACGTTCAGTTCGACATCTTGCAATTTCTTTACAGTTGCATCGTTCGAGTGTTCAAAGAATACTGTCGCAGGACTTGAAGTTCCATCCATACAAGTTACAGATCGTCCAGGAACTTAAACCCAATGATCACCTAATGCGCCGACAATTCTGTGAATGAATGATGGCAATGGTAAATGAGGACGAGGATTTCATTAACAACCTGTGGATGTCAAAGCCCACTTCCACCTGAATGGATTCATCAAGAAACAAAATTTTCACTATTGGGCCCAGCGAAATCTTGCTCAGCTACACCAGCGCCTGTTACACAGCAACAAAGTTACCGTGTGGTGTGCTATGTCATTGTATGACATCATAGGCCCTTACTTTTTGAGAATGATGATGGCCTTGCAACCACTGTAACATCTATGTGGTATGTTGCCATGCTGGAAACCTCTGCTGCGCATGAACTGCAGAATTTCCCACAAGTGATTGAAAACACCTGGTTTCAACAAGACGGAGCAACGTCACACACAGCACGAATATCGATGGCAGCTGTATGACAATTGTTTGGCAACCGTGTAATTTCGAGAAACGGTGACATTTCACGGCCTCCAAGATCCCCTGACCTGACAGTGTGTGATTTCTTTTTGTGGGGTCACCTTAAGAGCAAGGTGTACCGTAGTTGACCTGCTACGACTGAAGAACTGAAAACCAAGATCCAAGAGGAAATTGCCTACATTCCTGTTGAAATGTTTCGTCGAGTCATGCAAAATGTCCCTAAAAGACTGCAGGAGTGTCTGCACAGAGATGGGGGTCACTTACTTGATGTCATCTTCAAGAAATAAATATTGGTATGCAATTCATCAATGGCATACTCTGTACTATTAATTGTCATGAATAAATGTATTAAAAATGTTTTTTCTCTTCCATAAATCTCCATTCCAAAATTTCCCATTCCTCTGAGCCACCCTGTACTTGTGCCACAACCCTCACCCATTTCTAAAGAAAGCTAAATATATGTTGTAACTATGAGGGATTACTCATGACTGTGGAATGGATATTACATAAGACAAGTGTAGAGTATCAGAGGAGACAAAGGATGGCAATACAAGATTCACATCCACATAATCAATTTGACTATCAGAGATTTAGGTAGCATAGGTTCTAGCAAACTGGGATTCACTCAATATGGTGCCAAAATCAGCAAGAATCAACAGTAGCATTATATCAAGGGTGCCTGTATATTCTTTATAAGGAAAATGAAATCTATAAATACTTCCCAGCCAAAAAATATGCCCTGAAGGGATATACTTCAAAAGTAGGATTTTTCTTGCTCTTAGCAGCTCAATAGCTTCTAGTGCACCAAGTTTCACATTTCTACCAAATCTAGAATATTATTAGAATTAGCATCAGTCAGTCATTCATGACTGTCCACATATTTTAGAAATTGACATTCAATAATGTCCCGAGAGCCTAATGCCATCTGGTCAGTAGTAGACCTATTGAGGTGTGGCAAACTTAGAAAAACAGAACAGAAAAACTCAGAAAAAACCCATAGAAGGATGTGTCTGATGTGCAAGGAGAACTTCCATACCTGGAGGAAGAGAAAAAGGGGCAGCACCAAAGGGATCCTCATTATCCAGCCTCTCATCCGATGCTGACATCACCAGACTCTCTCGACTTTTCACATTTGAGATACCTATATAAGTAACAGGCCAAGTAAGTATTAGACAGTAGGTCTAACATGCAATCATCAAAACAAATGCCATTTGACTTCAGTTTTATATTAGGTTCAATAGTGACTCAAACAGAACTCAAAGCTACATCCTTCAACATAGCAAACTGGTATGAATCCTTTTTCACAAGAAAGTAAAAATATGAAGTTCCAGTTTGCTATGAAGGTCTGAGTTATTCTCCAGCACATTTGTCTCAAATTATCTTTGCTTCCAATTGAGCAAGAACCATGCAGTGATGTCAAATGGAACTCACTGCTTTGTGAACCCCGACGAAGCTTGTCAAATTCAGCAACAAAGATGTGATCCTCAGACATCTCTCCAAATGGAGTGGTGTCCTCGAAGGGGTTCCACTGGGCCATGCTGACTGTAAATGGTTTCGTGGGAAGGGTGTGGCATGTCCCCAGCTGGCCTTGAGACATGGAGATTCCCATTGCATGATGTGCACCTGGCTGTACGGGCCCTGGACGGGATAAGAGCTCTAGCGCCACACGGGGAGGGCTGTTCTTTACCGATGCCTCGAATGGGGCCAGAAAGTGTGAGATCTCTGATGCTGATGCCCTGAAACGTCAAAGAGAACAGTCAGTTTCCTCAATTTCATATTCAAGTTATCAAACTCTGCAAAAATGATCTGATAATGACAGGGGTAGGACCATGACAACAGTCAGGTGCTATATTGATCCTGTAAGTTATATTTTCATTGTCATGGAATTAACTGACTTTGATGTTATTAAGCAGTACCATCCCATGCAATGTAAAAGAATGCACACAATAATTAGGCACCACTATGACCCCAAATAGGAAAATTTTGACAAGAAAAGCTCTTTATTACAAAAAGTACAAATAATTTGGCATTTGCTGACATGTCCATGAAATTTTGCACAGCTACCAGTACATCTCTACACATTAACCTTAGGTCTCCATGCTCCACAATGCTTCATGAGTATAGAGATCACTGACTTCCCAACCAATCACCTGTTTTGCTTGAAGATAGAAATGGTCATCTTCCCTCTTTGAGACATTTCTAAATCCTTAACCAAAACAGTGAGTATAAATGCTACTAGTGAACATAATGAAAATTTGGAGGCATGTCAATTAACTTAGTAATATGTATTAATGATATGTATTTTCAAGGGATGAAAGTCTTTTCTCATCAAAGTCTTATCAGTCAATGTACAGGGTGTTTCAAAAGTCTGTACTCATGGGTATTTTGAATTAATTAAGTTTCTCAATGAATAAGTGCACCAAAATTAGTACAGAAGTACAAAGAAATATTCAGAGGGGGTTATGTGCCAGGATAGATATGCGTGTGCAAGTTCCTGGCATGCAATTTGAACATTTAATGAAATAAAGGTAAATTAGGAAATCTGCCAATGAGTCCGGACTTTTGAAACACCCTGTATTACTTATTTTCCATAATTGCTGATAAGAAAATTATTAGAAAGCACCATGGCTGCCAACTATTGCTCCCTTCATATATCTCTGAGGAAAAGAAACGAAGATCACACTAAAGTAGAAACCATGGAGAAAAATATACAGGTTGGGCCAAAAGAAAGGTTACACTTCTAGAAAATGCATGTTCACAAGGTAGTTATTATTTAATTTGGTTAGTTAAATTTGTCAGTTCCTTCACAATTTTTTTCTCATTAACAGTATGTGAAATCATGTAAGCCAACATAAATGATTATTTTATAATGAAAGTTGTTGTTAAGGGTAACTTTACTTTTGGCCCATCATGTATAATTCCTATTATTAGCAAGAGCTATATTCCATTTAAAAACAGTAAAAATGAAAATAGGAAAGTGGAGTTGACAGACTTGTCGAAAGCAGATGTGTCTGAGACATTTCGACGATGTCGAGAGAGAAGGACTCCTGCATGGTGGGTGGGAGAGGCAGGGGGAGTGAAGGATGAGGAACCTCCAATCAAGGAATGGAATGAGGCAGGGGGTGCAGTCACTCCAATCGGCCTCCCTCTCGATTCCTCACGGAATGGATCTGGGTAATCTAAGACAAAACCACCCCATTATCAATGACATCAATCCCCATCAGCCACAGTTAATAAATTCACAGTAGTTGAATTGCCTCCTTGGATCAATACGGAGTTCACATTTTCATCCAGGTTAGTGAAGATCAAGAGAGACACTATAAAAATGTGGAGTTGGCTTATATATTATGAACCAAAATTAGTCATTTACTATCCAGAACCTATTCATGATCCAGTTCTGCTCCCTGAAACATCAATGCAAATTCAGAAAACAGCACATAGGTACACCAATGACAGTACTTCAAACAAACATGGATGATGAAACAACTTTTTTTTCTTCTGAGATTAACTGAAAATAGAGGCAAAATATTTCATGTGCCAAGAACGAATGAAATAATGACAACAATATCACATCTGAATGCCAAAGAATAATGGCCTCTCCCTAATGAGCACTGCACCTCCTCACATGAACAACTAAAGTTCATTTCTTAATTATATTACTTTTGACAATCATCACAGGAGGGAAAATAAAATCAAGGATATAGCAGCCAGCATGACATCATCATCCTTTCAACCAATTGTCTACAGAAATCATTCAGCCTGGCAAGACTGCAGAAAATTGCTGACCAAGTGGAGGGAAGAACTGTCGGACGCCTTGGGTATTTTCAGGTTGTGGTGGAGAGACTCTATGCGGGGAGATCCTGGGTTGTTCAATGGGCCCCTGAAGACTGGTGGGCTGTTGAGGGGCATCTCCTCCTGGACCAGGACCACTCACCATCTGCAGGCTCTGTGCACCATTCCCATTGTAACCTGTGAAAAGATTCAAGAAGATATATGGACAAGTTCATGTCCTTGATATCACAACTCAGCTACAGAAGAGGCTGAGTTGACAGGATTCATGATTCCTTGAGCTCCCCTACTCTCTTTTTCCTTCTCAGAGAATATACAGTTCTGAAGGAAATGTAAACAAACATGCACTTCCCACTGATGAGTAAACTAACACTGCAGAGAGTCTAATGTAATAGAGAACCTTAATTGCTTTGAATATAAACTTTCAGCTACATTTTACAGCCATTCCCCATATATTAGAACTGCAAGAAAAATTATTTGCATACATAGGTAAGTTTTCAGGTTTTCCATTAAACCTGATATTCAATGTTTCAATGACTGAATCGCAAAATTGAGCTAGGCTGCAAAGAGATAAATATCTGATGATTATCATTAAAAATACAGAAATCTGGGCTGTAGCTCGTACCCTTTACCTGGATTCACTTCCTATACAATCAGTAAAAGTTTTATTGAAACTTGAGAACTTGAAAACCTCAAAATATGCTCATGAATCTTAAGCTGCCTAACACTGACATGAAAAACTTTAAATTTGCAAGGACTATAATAACCCTCTAGCCTAGCTACATTGAGCAACATCCTGTACATTTTGCTTGATCTCCAGCATAATCTTTCTTAATTAAGTAGCAAAATCATTGGTGACTTAGGTAACTAGGTCTAAAAAATCAAGATTTACATCACACTCAAACAGGCCTGTCAGGTATTACATTAAATCTGGACTAAATTTCATTTGGACTTAATAAGCCCTTCCTGAACTTCTTTAATTTTTTTCACTATAACAGAAAGCAGATTCAAATCATCTCCTTTGCTAAAGAATACCTATTATCACAAGAAAAACTCACTCATAGGAGAGGGAGTGGGGAGGGGACTAGATGCAGGCACGGGAGGCATCACTGACAATGGTGAGGAAGCATTGGTCATGGCAGCACTGTCTCCCACAGGTAACTTGCTTCGCTTCCCTCCCGAGAGGGTTGGTGGCAGTGGGAGACTTCCAATTGGCTCTCGAGTGTATCCCGCTGAAAGGCGGGAAACCAGCACTCACATGTACATTTCCAGGAAACAAAATACATTCATTGCTCATCAGATATTACAATCTGTTTGAGAGCCACAACCATGCCTCTCAGTTCTGACAGGGTTGGAATGCCTTCCTCTAGACCTCCAGAGAAGTGTAAGAAGAATATTTAGAAAGATCTATTGTCTGACAGGAATAGGAGAATTTCTGATGGCAAGAAATCCACCTTCCTACAACCTGTGAGTAAAGATAGAACCAGTTCTGACCTTTAGGCCTTTGTCTGGGTGCCACAGAGGTGCCCTCAACCACAACAGCATTCACAGTCTTGTTCACCTTCACTTGGCTACGTTTTCCCTCACTCTCTGTCATGGGGACAGGCAACTCCTCACACTTGGGAATGGGAGAGTTCTGTGCCAAAAATAGCATTAAGTTACATCAATCACACTGGTTACAGCAAGTCCCCTTTGGGTCTGTTTCACATAGATTATCATAGAAAGTCAGGTTAGGGTCATGCAAAACAGGCTGCACAGCATAACAGTAAGTATATTACACAAATGAACATCTAGGTTGTTGAATATCTCAAAGGGTTCTTTCTAGGAAAATACCAAACACTACTACCACGTCCATTTCAATGCAGTCAAAATGAAGGCTCTCGTATGTAAAAGTATTTACCTCCTAAAATAGTGGTGACCAAGAAAAACATCACTAGTGGGTTAAAATACCAACCTTGAGGTTCACAACAGGGCAAGGTTTTGAAAGGAGACTGAAGGCCACAGAAGAAACTTGAAAGATATCAGGTCGCTGGTCGGGATCAGGTTCCAGCATATAGCCTATGCATACAGACACCACACAAATGATTTTCTTCAGAAACTATTTATGGCAAGAGTATAACAGGCAACAGAGGCTGGAGCCAGGCTCACGGATCAGTGCATGTAGATGGGTGGAATACTTGGAATTATCAGGGACTGTGAAGTTCCCACTCTGAATTGCAAGAGGACTTTCACCAAATGGGAGAGAAAAGAAGCAGAGCTTGTACAGGAGGATCCCCAATGCCTGCAAGCAATATAAAAGCTTTATTTGCACTTGAGGTTAATTGAGATCATCAAACAGCATACATTAAGCAATACATAGGAGAGTTGAGAGGAAGAATTCTAGCAAATGCCACCCAGTTAAATGATAAAGCACTGGGGGATATGCTTCCTTTTATGACTTGAAATGTTTTTCATTCAGTTTGAGATGAGAGCTTCCCATGATTGAATACAAATGTGCCTGTAAGAGAATATTCTTCAATTACTTTATGGCTGCATCATTTAAGAATGAGTTGGACACCTTTAAAAGATATGTTGCCTTTCTTCAGCAAGCACGCAAGTCAGCAGATTAAGAAAGGTATGAAGTTTATTCAAAAGAAACCCAACCAAGGTCCCTACTGGAACACCACAGCACACAAACTACACAAAGGAGCACCCTTAACCTGGAGACACCTGTCCTATTGTTGCGCCAAGCATCGGATTCCTTTCTGGAATGATTCCGTGAGTTGTTATTGGAGCAGGGTCACACCTTCCTTCAGCCAGGTTTCATTTGAATGATCCTTACACAGGGTGCAAATTAAGTCATTAACCAAATGTGAAATGATATACTTATTTAACCCTTTCAGACCTGACTTAAGGCCACTATCAGAATAATATAATTTTTTGCATTTTTGAGCTCTTTTCCTAACCTACTGAAGATTTCTCATGTTCTATATATTGTTTTTATATTTTGTATAAAATTACCATATCCCACTAATTTATATATTGTACATGTAATTACATAAATGAAGATTAAACAACTGATGGGTGAGAGAAGGCTTCTGACAGAATTGAGCCATGCATTATAGAGTCCATTGTAGTGTAATATGGGTGAAAGGTCACGAGAATCCCAAGAAATTACCATGGACACCAGTTCTGAAAGGGTTAAGAGCACAAAAAAATGAGATTTTCTTTAAATTCCTTCACAATTTTTATTTTTATCCAATATGCCTGAAAAACAATCTGCTCAAACAAACATTAAATCTGCAAATAGACTTCAACAAGAGTAATCAAACGGTACGATTTAAAACCAGTTTTTCAATCATAGTAATGCAAGACCAGTCTCGAAAGATATGATCCTCATAACGATCATACAACATAAAAGAGTTAACCTATAAAGTTAATATTTATGTTCTGCTATTTCTGAAAAGTAGGTCTTAAGTTTTGTCTTCATTTTGAGTGATGGCTTCTACACATACTGATGAGGAGCGAGTCACTGTAGTGAAACTGTACTACAAGAGCATAAGTACCACACAAGCACAGTGGGACTGGAGGAATTCTTTTGCTTCTCTGCCAGCAACAAGAAAGCCCATCCTTGATCGAAAATTCAAATCTACTTAGACCTGCCATGAATACTGTTACAAAGTTTTTTGTTATAACTCTGTTTATATAAAACATATGTTGTATTTGCTAACAACATTTATTTCCTACATAATTACTAACAGGCTACAGAAACACCATTCAAAATGTCCACCCCTGGCCCTCACATATGACTTTAAACAATCAGGCCACTCATTGATATCGCAGTAGAAATCGATCAATGAGTGGCCTGATTGCATCGATCCACACACCATGTCCACTGAGATATTGGCTGCTGATTTTGCAAGGGCTTGCTTTAGACTTTCAATATTTGCATGTATTCTGTGGCAGACCATCAGTTCCAACCCTGTCCAGAGTTTGTAGTCCAGTGGGTTCAAGTCGGGGCTCCTAGATGGCAAATCTGAGGCCTTGATGAACTCAGGGAAATTGTTGGTTAACCACTCCTGCGTTGTCTTAGTCTTGTGAGCAGGAGCAGTGTCTTGCTGGAAGTTCCAGTTGCCCCCATTGAACATTGTATGGCTGAGAGACTTCATTGTCTTCTCTAAGATGTCTTCCTGGTACAATTAGGCTGATGTCTTCACTCCTTGCTCACAAAAATGCAGCTTGGTGACTTTCATAGCTCACCCCCACCACACCCTGATGGAAGCAGGATGGTGACCTCTCTCCACATCATGGATGACTTTGGCAGTTTCTTGAGAGTTGTGGGCATACACTTGGTCATTTTGCCGGTTAAATTTTTCTTCAATTGTGAAGATTTTCTCATCAGTAAAGACGATTTTTTGGTGCCTGATTTGCACATACCTTTGCAGGAACGCTTTCGATTGGGACCCCCTGATTTCTTTGAGAGAGAGTCAGCATGTATCCTGTGCTCTTCGGTAAGCACCCATCCTTAGGTCTGATTTAACCAACCAAGACATGTTTCTAGTCAATATGGCCATTTCCTTGGCCATCACTTTCTGCTTGTGGAGAGGATTTCGTCGAATATTGTGTCTCCCCTTACTGCAAGCAATGCAACTGTTAAAATGTTATACCAAACAACAAACAATATAGTGGATAATACACTGCACAAAATACAAAATTCTACCTTCTTTAGTTCTTTAGCTAGAATGCCAGGAACATGTAAATCTTGTAACATTTATGGCAGAACTAGGTACTGTAGATTTGAATTTTCACTAGGTCATGAGGTCCCCCCACCACACACACACACACACACACACACACACACACACACACACACACACACACACAGTGTGGACAGTTTAATAATGGAAATGTGTTTTTTAAATCATGTATATTTCTAAATTCAGGTCTTCAAGGGTTAACTCTAGAACTACTGGAGCTGTCATATTGACCATTGCTTTTAAATCAATTTGTTCGTTTGTTTGACAACTAAGAGCCTCTGTATTTTTTACTTCTCATCAAATATCCTCAATTTGAATATCTGAATGTCTTGAACAAATAACATCTGGGGAAAAAAAAAAATGTTAGAGAATAATGGTTTCATGCTACTTTTAATACAGCAGTCAAAATGACAGCTCCAGTAGTTCTAGAGTTGAAGTTCTGCAGTTTTAAACAGGAAACTTGCTCATGTTGCCAATGCAAAGGACATTGAGGAAAAAAACAATGTCACACTGAATATAGACAGTACTGCATGGATTGAGGCCCAAGCTCTTTTTTTTTTTAAGAAGAAGCTACAGGCATTGTCATTTAGCAACTGTGAAGCATTGGGAGATACAATTTGCAGAATCTCTCTCTAAAAAAGGAGATTGGAATAGTATGAAACATGCATTTCACTAATATGGGCATCCTATTCAAATATCAGCTGATACCCAAGTGAAGTAGATCTACTGTTCATGCACAATATGCCTGCAACTTTAGGGCTCATGTTCCTCTTGTATGAAAATTGGCATGTGTCCAGTGGAACCACTCAATAAGTTTGAATAATGTCTAATATGCCAACTGGGTAGAAGTATTTTGGTGTTTGGATATGGCACCATGGGTAGAGGGATGAGCTTTCCATACTTTCCTTATCTATCCACCCTGTCCATCAGACAGAGAATGGGTAGTCAGTCAAACTACATCAATCAGCATCAGCAAAAAACAGTTCAGAGAGGTTTTGCTTTGAATTCATCTGTCAGTACAACCCATGGGTGTCAGCCATAACAGACAATACTGAGCATTTTCTTGCTGATAAAAGCAACATCTGGACTGAGGCTGACATATTTCTAAGAAAAAATGACTGCTTGTGCCTCCTCAAATTTGAAAACTGTACTGTCAATTGACCTGGCTGTTGTTTAGAAAGACCACTGACTACCTTTCAACACTCAATCACTTTTCTTTTTCTATGCCTAAGTTTTATTTGATCTTTTGATATTGTTCAACTGGCTCTCATGCACAAGCTTGCCCTGCTCTCATCAGCCCACCCAATTGTCCTAATTCATGACCACTACATATTTTCAAGGCTCGCTCTTGTTGAAAAGAGGCATATCTGACATCTAAAACATTACATACTTGATTTTTTTCCTTCAATATTATACATCTGCATTGCTCATTATGGCAACACCCCATGTTACTAGATATTAAATTTCACATCTGGTCAAAGTCATGGCAATAAATCCCTGGCTCCACTGAAACAATCATTCCTTGCCCAAGAGACTGATGTGGATTAATGTTAACTTTTTGAATAGTGGGTTTAGATAAATCAGAAAAGTATAGTAGTTGTGAATACACTAAGAGCTAGACAATTTATGAAAAGAATATTTTGATATATGCTACTTATATTGAACATAGGTAATACAACGGATGCTTCCAGGAAGTCAGAATCTGAAGTCACACTCTTAATATAACTTTCAATGATAAAGGTCATGATGATCAGTGAAAGCTTAAAGATAACCTTTACCTGGTTATTGTTTCAAACAGCAAAGCCTGGAAGGGTCATTATTCATGCTTAACCCTTTGAGACCCAGAATCCATTCCAATGGACATTGCATTTTCATTGTGCCTATGCTAATNTTGTATGGCTGAGAGACTTCATTGTCTTCTCTAAGATGTCTTCCTGGTACAATTAGGCTGATGTCTTCACTCCTTGCTCACAAAAATGCAGCTTGGTGACTTTCATAGCTCACCCCCACCACACCCTCATGGAAGCAGGATGGTGACCTCTCTCCACCTCATGGATGACTTTGGCAGTTTCTTGAGAGTTGTGGGCATACACTTGGTCATTTTGCCGGTTGAATTTTTTCTTCAATTGTGAAGATTTTCTCATCAGTAAAGACGATTTTTTGGTGCCTGATTTGCACATACCTTTGCAGGAACACTTTTGATTGGGACCCCCTGATTTCTTTGAGAGAGAGTCAGCATGTATCCTGTGCTCTTCGGTAAGCACCCATCCTTAGGTCTGATTTAATCAACCAAGACATGTTTCTAGTCAATATGGTCATTTCCTTGGCCATCACTTTCTGCTTGTGGAGAGGATTTCGCCAAATATTGTCTCCCCTTACTGCAAGCAATGCAACTGTTAAAATGTTATACCAAACAACAAACAATATAGTGGAAAATTCTACCTTCTTTAGTTCTTTAGCTAGAATGCCAGGAACATGTAAATCTTGTAACATTTATGGCAGAACTAGGTACTGTAGATTTGAATTTTCACGAGGTCATGAGGTCCCCACACACACACACACACACACACACACACACAGTGTGGACAGTTTAATAATGGAAATGTGTTTTTTAAATCATGTATATTTCTAAATTCAGGTCTTCAAGAGTTAACTCTAGAACTACTGGAGCTGTCATATTGACCATGGCTTTTAAATCCAATTTGTTCGTTTGTTTGACAACTAAGAGCCTCTGTATTTTTTACTTCTCATCAAATATCCTCAATTTGAATATCTGAATGTCTTGAACAAATAACATCTGGGGAAAAAAAAAAAAATGTTAGAGAATAATGGTTTCATGCTACTTTTAATACAGCAGTCAAAATGACAGCTCCAGTAGTTCTAGAGTTGAAGTTCTGCAGTTTTAAGCAGGAAACTTGCTCATGTTGCCAATGCAAAGGACATTGAGGAAAAAAACCATGTCACACTGAATATAGACAGTACTGCATGGATTGAGGCCCAAGCTCTTTTTTTTGAAGAAGAAGAAGAAGCTACAGGCATTGTCATTTAGCAACTGTGAAGCATTGGGAGATACAATTTGATCTTAGAGAGAGATTTTTTCCTCTAACCTTATCATACTTTGTACGTAAAGTGATTATACCCGTAGGATAAGTTTATAGTCGACTATGGGTTCACTTCATCTAGATGACAAGTACGTGTTATACGGACCAACTTTAGGGCTCATGTTCCTCTTGTATGAAAATTGGCATGTGTCCAGTGGAAGCACTCAATAAGTTTGAATAATGTCTAATATGCCAACTGGGTAGAAGTATTTTGGTGTTTGGATATGGCACCATGGGTAGAGGGATGAGCTTTCCATACTTTCCTTATCTATCCACCCTGTCCATCAGTCAGACAATGGGTGGTCAGTCAAACTACATCAATCAGCATCAGCAAAAAACAGTTCAGAGAGGTTTTGCTTTGAATTCATCTGTCAGTACAACCCATGGGTGTCAGCCATAACAGACAATACTGAGCATTTTCTTGCTGATAAAAGCAACATCTGGACTGAGGCTGACATATTTCTAAGAAAAAATGACTGCTTGTGCCTCCTCAAATTTGAAAACTGTACTGTCAATTGACCTGGCTGTTGTTTAGAAAGACCACTGACTACCTTT